AGTGTTTAGGTTGAGCGGGGATAGGCTCCCCTGAAGAGAAGAGTCTTCAGGGAACGCCTGAAGACAGTCAGGATGGGAGATAGACGGACAGGTTGGGGTAAAGAGTTCCAGAGGATGGGAGAGACTCTAGAGAAGTCCTGGAGGCGAGTATGGGAGGAGTTGACTAGGGAGCTGGAAAGCAGGAGGTCTAGGGAAGAGCGGAGTGGACGGTTAGGGTGATATTTTGAGACAAGGTCTGAGATATATCCGGGGGCAGAGTTGTGGATGGCTTTATAAGTGACTATTTTGAATTTTATCCTCTGGGCGAGTGGAAGCCAGTGCAGGGATTGGCAGAGGGGGGTTGCAGACACTGAGCAGTTGGTCAAGTGGATGAGTCTGAAGTAATGAGTAATGAGTAATGAAGTAATATCAATATTTAGCTAAAAACAGAACAAAAAACAAAAACTACGGTGTCCATTTATAACAAGATTCACACAACTTTTACTCAGGATTCACACACTTGTCAACTGAATCCACTTGAAAACATGAATCCTGGCTGAAAACTGTAAGAATCTTGTGTAAAAACATTAACAAATGGGATTCAACTGGACAAATGTGTGATAAATGCGTCCCATGTGAAAGTTGCATGAATCTTGTGCGAAAATACAGTGGGATTTAATTGGACAAATGCGTAAATCCTCTATGAAATTTGTTAGAATCTTGTTTGAAAAACAAAAAAAACTCTAGGGGTATTCTTAACTTTTTTTTTTTACAGGCAATTATTCCTGTGCTAAACTTTGCTTTGTCTTATGCCATAAATCATGTAGACTGTTCAAAGGAAAAATACCCAGTATATATGGAATGATAGTCACTTGATTATATCCGATACAACTACTCTCGCTCCGCTCATCCCAAAACAGTCACATTGCTGCTCCTGAATGAAGTCAGAAGACAGGAAGTGAATTGTTTCAAAATCTATGCATGAAATCAGACTTAATCCGAAAACCTTCAGAAAAATGACAAACTTGGTTGTTCAGTTGTATCAAATTGTTAATTCAACGTGCTCCTGTTCGAAAATATATGCATGAAAGGAAGACGTACTTTTAAGACCTTGTGGCTAATTACAGACTTGGTTCTTCAATTCTATCAAACTGTGACTTTTTTGTGCTCCTTGGAACAACTTAAAAAGAATAAAAACTCATAAAAAAGCGCTCATTTAAAGGAATACAATTTCAGTGATGCAATTTGATAAAATAATCCCTGAAATTCATAGAGTGTTGGAGACACCCATTAGAAATCGGTCTCCCGTCTGTGTAACAAATGCCACAACAGATTCATGTAACTGTCGGTAAGGTGTATATGAATCTGTTGCAGAATTTTGTCTGACATGATACTTACACGTGTGACACAATTTACTCCAACATAGAAGAGGTTTTATTTCTCTCCACTTTTGTATCACCAGGTTTTCTTGAATCTGTCACAGCCGTTGTGCCAAAATGTAAAAGTATTCCCTAAATTTGTTGTATGCAGCGGAATTAGCTGATGCATGGATTTCATGAATTTGACAATTATATGGTCATAACGCCAATAAAGTGTGGCATATGCTTTATGTAATCGCCCCCAAAGTGGTTTTAGGTCTGTAGTAGGCTTGATTTGCAGTTTGATAGATTACATTGCACTTACCCAGTCCTCCCACTTGCCATTAGGATTGTTTTTGACAATAGGTTCCAATCTCTGCCAAAGTGTCTCACAGGCATACTGGGTAAGAGAAAGAAAGGTAAAAGTTTAGATACATTTTATGTAGTAGGAACATAGGCAAGATGCAGGATGGGGCAAACCAATGGGACTGGTGCCCGCCCCGCCAATGCTAGGAACCACGGGCTGCCCTCTCAACCAGGGAGTCACTGGAATCTTGACAACATGCAACAAAACACAGAGCAGGCACCACCTCCCTAGTGCAGTATGTTTATTGATCAAATTATAAAATAAGAGTAAAAAAGGTTCTACTCACTACTCCTAAAGGAAACCAGGCATACCAATAACAGAGTCCGATGGTCCCAGAACGCTGTGTAGTGGTAAGTGCACCCCAATGGGGGGGGGGGCATGCTAATGTGTTTTGGGGTAACCAAACCCTTCCTCAGAGCAAGACTTCATTTTATGTAGTACATATGAGGAAGAGCTGCACTGCCTTTGACATATAGAATGGTTATGTTTAAATACTTTCAATGCTCATTCATTCTGAACTTTCCTCTCTATGATTCATATTAAACAGAAAAATGATATAAAGTAATTCTGAGAAACTAAATTAGAAAAGAGATATTAATGTAATTACAACTGTACAGATAATTCTGTGACTAGTAATTATAGATTACAATAGATCATGGCTCTTTATACTATGTGATAAAATACCGATTACATTTCCCAGTGTTTTAGTTCAGTGGAACGTTCTTCATGTTCATTAGGTTTGATCTATTTTTGGCTTCTGAACTTAAGGGATTCCTACCGCCCGACACCCAGGACATGAGGTTCTGGGCGGGCAGTAGTTTTGTACAAGCAGGACTAAATGTACAGTGCAGCCTGCTAGTCAGTCCTCCCCAACCCCCAAACCCC